TTTTACGCGTAAAATGCACAAGCGCCGCCACCGTCGTGAAGTGACGTCAAGGACACTAATTCGAGCAAACCAGATATTTGGATTTTTTTAAGAATAAGGAACAAACCAGGTTCTTTTCTGTTTATCACTTCTGAGTGCCTATTTACTCGAAGTAATCCAGAGAACATAGTTTGTTGAAGAAATATTACTATACGATATTTGACTAAACTGGCCGTGGTCAAGGTGTTCAACTACAGTGCTTCGTAAATCTAGTTTCCATCGTTGCCTTGCGTTTTTAGAATTCGGTGAATGCCTGCCGTCGGGCGTTTCATTCCCTCTGCACGTGCATACTTAGACGAACCCAGAATTTATCATTGTTCACTAGAAAGCAGAGACCCGAGAAAAGGGTTTTTGCTCAGCACAATTCTTGGTCTTCCGGAACCCCGCGAGGAGCGTCGAACCGGGATCAAAAAGCATACGAAGACAGCCCGAGACCACGCTGGGAAACGACACCACCCAAAAGCAGAGCCGGCGACAGCAGCAATTACGAGGCGCTCTTGCACTAGTGGGGGTTCGGTCTTTGCTGGTCGTTGAAAAGAGCGCGCGTCCCTTGGTGAGCTTCCCGGGGCTCAGCGGACGCTGGCCGATGACCTTGTCCCACGCTGGGCGTGATTTAATGCGTTCAGGCTCCTTGCTTCGTTCTTCGTCGCGTTCATCCAATACCTCCTAGATAAGGAAGCCTGAGTGCCGAATTTTCCTGCGTCACTATACAAGGGCACTTAGGCTTTCTTCTCTAGGAGGTGTTGATTTATCGGCTAATGCAGCAATAGAGAGTTTTAGTAGATCGTTCCGACGACTACGATAACGATACCGATACCCCGTCGCCGCCTTTGCGCGTGCATCGTATCGTTGTCGGGAATATTGCAGGTGTCGGAACAATCTTCTAAAGGGCGATTTGCACACTTGCGTCGAGTCCGACCGAGTGCGATGGTTGCTATGGCAACGGCTGCGTCGGCTTCAACAAATTGGGGTAAAATCCGGTTTTGCAGCGTGAGCTACACTGGCCCAGGTTGAGCAGTTTCCCGTGGCTCCTGGAGAGCCGTGCTGCGCATGCGCGAGGAGCAGTGACGTCACACGGCGCACAGCTGGCGCGCCGGAGCCGCCGCCACCGCGCGCGCCTCGCCGGTCTGTGCATTCCAGAGGAGTGACGTCATAGCCGCGGGAGACGCACTGGCGCCGCCATGTGCCCAGCTGTGCGCCTCCGTTGCGCAGTAGCCAAGTCTGACGCTGCACCGGAGCCGCTTGATAGCGCCTCTCATTTTGTGCGCATGCGCAGAGGTATCAGTGGGGGTATACATATAGCGGGGTGTTTGCCAGTGTGGTATAGCCATGAAGAAGGAGAGCGTAATTGCTGCTCAGCGGCGCAGAAGAGCGGATAAGCTTAACTCATCGGATCCCGAAGTAGTTGCCTGGCAATTAGCGAATCCGTATGCCGTGTGTGTGTCATTGAAGCAGCAGTAAGCATGAGAATCAAGCTAATCCTAGACAACCAGGAAAGCTAAGAATAACCAGCTGAACCTAAGCTTACGCTACGTATATCCTGGCATAGCCGAGCTAAGCCACTGCAATTTTTGTTGGAGCCGATGCAGCTGTTGCCATAGCAACCCTCGCACTTGGTCCGGCTCAACGCAAGTGTGTGAGCCAGCCTTAAAACTTCCTATTCTCATTGACTGCGGAGCGGTAGTAAAACACTGGGGACTCGGGACGCCCGCCGTTCTTAAACTGCCAGCGACTAACCCTAACCACTTTATCGTGATGCACGTTAGAGACGATAGGTTAGCAGGAGGGGTTTCCCCAGGAATCGAAATTATGGGGTGGGGGGGGGGGGGGGTTGTCAAAATTTTTAGGCGAGTTAGGGGGGGGGGGGGGCTTTGAGAATATAGGAGTCATTGCGAATTAAGGGGGTGCCTTCAGGGAAACAAGGGGGGGGGGGGAAGGGTGTAGGGAAATCACAGGTTAGCAGCTGTACTGAACCGGTTCGATTCCTAGTCTACCGCCTGAACGATCGTCTCCATGTCTCAAATGCAGGCCCATCTGACAGTCAGAACACTTAAGTCTAACTTGGTTTGCGTTGCCTTTTATAACTCTAAATCTTCGTCAGCCGTCGAAAAAATAAAATAAAACACTTTGGCAAATAAGCGGTACTCTCGACGATAGCTTCGCTTGCCACAAAGCGTCTGTTGTTTTATCGTAGCGCTTTGTTGGTTGCGTGCTCTTGCGGTGGGAACACGCACATACACTGGATGTTTTCTAAAACTAGGAATCGCGAACTTCCACAAACTTTCAAGATTTGTTGCTGCATAATTATTGCATTGCGCGTAAAAACTAAAATAGAGTCCGGATCGTCGTTTCTATTTTTGCTTGTTGTGCTTGTGTACGTTCGAATAATTACAAAAAATTCCCTCGATTGCAAAATGATTTGTTGGTAACTTCGAATAAGCACCACTCGAGAAGAATGGTCTTAGTTGTCATTGTCGTGCAATCTGATAAATTCTAAATTGCTTTAGCCAAAAACAAATCAGCTCGGTGAATGAAATATTTAAAAAAACTGTCAAATCACCTAAAAATTCATGGAAACCCTGTTTTAGAACATATGCGCTCGCAATATACTTTGGTATTGAGGTGATCACGCCTAATCCGTATGCTTCCGGCGCCGAACTACACTGGTGTTTATGATAAACGTTGTGTCGGCGCGTACAGAAGTTTCATTCATGAAGCAACTGCTAAATTTCGTCGCCCCTTACACGTTGAACAAAAAACAAGGCATGCCACTCATATTGTTTTCTTAGAAACAAGAAAATACAAAGTCTCTAGCCTGTTACTAAAATAGTAACTTCATCATTTCGAAGTTCTAAAGCGTTCGATTTGCACCGGTTAAATAATAAATTGCCAGTCCGTGCTGTGAGCTTCCCACAATTAGGGTGCCTGGTAAATATTCTGAGCACCCCCTTGTCCCGGTCGTGATATCCCAGAAAGTTCAGGTATGGGTATGGTTTTGCGTAAAAACATGGATTGTAAAATGTTCGTTCTAGTCTTAACGCTGTGTGCAATTGGCTTTTGTGTTTTATGTTCCCTTTCCTTTGTTCCCTCTTTTTTTTTCGCATCTAATTGTTGACTTTGTTTATTCTTAGAGGTCTCTTTATAGTCGGTGGTGGGTTATGGGGGAGCTCCTCCCACCTCTTTTCACTTTAGCAAAGCGAACGCTGGAGAGGAGGCGACCTCCACCCTGCAGCATTTGCTCTGCTAAAGTGGAAAGAGGTGGGAGGAGCTCCCCCTAAAGTTTTTTTTATCTGTCACTGGACTATAAAATTGGCAGGTGAGAGTAGCAGCTCTACAGTCTCACCTGGACGACATTCAACCCTGCATGCGTTGCTTTAACTGCCAGTTAGGAGAAACTTCTCCCTCAATTCCTTCTTTCTGCGGGGAGTCGCTCAGAGATCCGCTCCTTTGGGAAGAGGAGGATAGGAGAGTGCTAGAAGTAAGGAAGAGAAGGATGCTGGGAACCGGTTGTCTTCCCGGCAGAAGACGATTCTGTAGATCGACCATTAACCGCAATGATGACTCTTCGTAACAATTTTCTCACATTTTTTTTATATATATTTGTTACTCTTGGTTTTGCGTACTGAAGTCACTAAGTGTATGAGAACGGCAGGGTTTCTCCTCTAAATGGACGGGCTCCGACACGTACCCCTTGCCCTCCTCCGTGCTTTCGCTACTTGTGCACGCTCGAAGCCCACGTGGCGCTGACATGTTATCGGAGGTAGGAAGCTCACGCTGGAGGCGGGACAACCGAAAGACCTCTCTGCCGTTCCAGTTCTGTCAGCGACTGCAGCGGTCCAGCGTTTCTGCATACTGTCCAGTGTATACCATGCAAACCTTAGGGTAACAAATGAAATACCTTTTCTTCTACGCATCTTCTACCTCAAACACTGCGGCGCTCGTATTATATTGGATGGAATAATTAACGGGAAGCCCCCAAGATGGAGAAGATTTAAGTAAGAAATTGACTTTCATTCGAAATGAGGTGCAATTCGCACCCTCTAACATAGACGACTGGTGGTTCACCCTAAAAAAAAAAAAAAAGCCCAAGCGTCTACTTTCCCGCACAACACTCGGAGAGCCAATCACCGCAACTTATGGAGACAGCTCAGCGAATGACGATGCCGAAACATGTTTAGACCAAAAAAACACAGTCTGAGTTGCGACATTCAGCAGTGTAAGCGTGCCGTTTTGCAGTGCTTAATGTCACAACTCAGACTGCGTTTTGTGGTCTATAAACATATATGTTTCGGCATCTTCATTCGCTGGGCTGCCTCCGTAAGGGTCGGTGATTGGCTTTCCGAGTCTTGTGCGGGAAAGAAGACTTACGGGCTTTTTTTAGTATGACAGCCGAAAAATTCCGCCTGGTACGGGAACCGATCCCGGGACCTCTTCAAGACCAGGGGAGGGAGCTATCAACTGAGCTAACCAGGGGCTAGCAGTCAGAAAGCACGAGCTGCGCTCCATTTCAGGTGAAAGTAAATTTACCAGTTCGTGTTAGATGAACAAAAAAAATATACACAAGCTTGATTATGTTGAAAAAGACTGGGAGGTGCTGTGCATGAGCAGGGCACATGTTATCTGTGTCTGTGGGTGCGGGCCCGTGTGACGTCACGCTATCTCATAAGGTCACATTGACTGACGTTACATAATGTCATGGCGTCACGCGACGTCATGGTCCCCCAAAGTCACAGATTCATTTGATATTATGACGTCAGGTGACGCCGCGATGTTGCCTGACGTCAAGGATATCACATAATGCCTCGTTGTCATCTGACGTCACGGTACTGCGTGGCAGGACGTCACCTTATGTCCCAGTCCTTTGTGGCGGTTTTTTGTATTGGTTTTCTCACAGACTTCGGCAGATAAAACACATTGCGCGTTAAAAACGCTCAACCGAGTCCCTGTCTTGGCCTGCGCAGGAATCCGCCATGGTGGAACCGGCGCACGCGAATGGAGCGGACGCTGTGCGGCGTCACCACGGTGTCCATGGTCATGTTCCTGGCCATGGCGGTGGCCCTGGCCGTCCTCGGATACCACTACCAGGAGAACCTCGGTGAGTTTGGGCCTCGGTCGATGACGCACCTGACGCAACAACTAAACGCCATCCAAGATTAAAAAAAAAAAAGACTACTTTCTGCGTTTTGTATACGGAAGTCAAGAAGCGCAGACGACGTCGTTTTGCTCCGTCCCGGTCTGTTTTAAGATTACCGGAGGACGAAAAAGCGTTCCCTCTGATTTCAAATAAAACTTCCCGTAACTGGCAACCCTGATTTTTAGCACCAAGATGGCTGAAGGGGTGTTACTCGGACGCGTAGCTTGGTTGATGACTCTATACTCGCTATAACCTAAAGATAAAAAAGCGCATTATTTATGCGTCGCGCGAAGTAGTGCTTACACGTTTTGGTTCTTGAAGGAAGAAATGATGCTTGTAGCGTTTGGAACGTGTGCGTCTTGATGAACTAATGTAATGCTGATCTAAGATGCACCTACACAAGTCTTCATTCATCGCATGAAGGGGCAAATTAGTAACGTTCCGCGATGAGCCGGACATTTTAGTACCGTTTCTCAGGTGAAAACGACTACAGCTGTGACGATACAGACCCCACCCGTAAAAGTCACGCAAGGTGACGATATTGCAATTTGCGTCTCGGAGAACGTTCGGTAGAATGGGATGATTTATAAAACAAACAATCCACTGTTACAACCAAAATAAGAAGAAAAAAAAACAAAGAAATTAATTAGATTTTTTTAAATTTTCAGTTTGATTAATTTGATTTAGGTGACTGTAGCTAGAAAGTTGTCATTCCTTTATAACTGGATGTATTTGTCAACATCGCAGATTGACTGATCGATTTGATTGATCACTGATAGAGATGCGGAAGAAAGAAATATTTTAAGTGTAAAGTACAGTTTACTTCGCAACTTTTTGTTTCTGTAAATCCCCCACTATAGCATAAAGAGCTTGATTTTTTTTTAGTTAGATTACAAAATCTTCACTTGAATTTTTTTTCGAGTTCTGACTTGATTGTGATAGAACATCCTTTTCTAGTTTTCGTGTCTTTCTTTTGTATTCCAATTTTGTTGAAATAGGTCTTTAAGTAGATGAAGAATAAAGTAGAAGGCAGAAAGAAAGCTCAACGCTCCGATTCGCTGGGAAGAGCACTTCTTTTTGGTCGTGTTAAACTTTATGTAAATATTTCTCGGTCGATGATTCTTCCATTTAAATACCAAAGAAATGCACATTGAAAAAATTAAGTCAGAAACATACGATAAATAAAAAAAATATTTTCGGGATTATTCCTGCCGGAAAGGCAGGAAAGGCATCTATATTGTCATAGTAAAAGCGCTGGTCTCATTTAAATCACGGTTTAATAATATTGATTTTTATTCTCCGCCCTGGTCTGAGCGCTCTTTGTAACCCGCACGAATTACGATGTCATAAGCGTGAAATAACCCCAAATGTCTTAATAAGAGTCTCGCCATTCGCCGAGGTCCTCCTGTTGTCCGCCGTGATTGGCCGTGGTCTACAGAAGCGCGAGCTCGGAGACGTTACTTGAGTGCGTACAGTACATCCCGGCGGGGGGTTACTTTCACCCAGTCAGCTCCACCGCGCAGTTCGCTGAAAGCTCTCAAAAAGCGTGTTTTTCCTTTGGTCGCTTAGGACCCATAGCTAAGACAGTCATCGCATTGGGCGTTGCGATCTACGACGCAAGGAGTGTGAAAATGATAAGCCCCTCCCTATGATTATTAAGCTGTAATTGGCTCTAGCGTCGTAAATCCAGACTATTAGCTTTTCCTCGCGTTTCGTAGTCAGATAACTGACTGCGAGCTCAATGTGTAAAAGAAGTTGATCGCAGTGCTTTGCCTACGACACTGTGGTATCATAAAACCTCAACAGTGGTGTAAAGAAGGAAGCAAAGCGGCGGGTGGTGTCAACATTGGGAAATAAATTATTCTAGGCCAGCGTACCCGCTTTATCGATTTAGTTTGAGATAAGATTATGGCGAAGAGGTGCTTGACGGGGTAGGTTTATTTGTCTGCGTGGGCTGATATGGACTGTTATATTTGGTGAACTCGCAACAGCACTTGCTAGCATGCGCGTCTATTATGCTTTGTTAGCAATATTTCTACTTTCGGTCTAATGGGCCAAAAAAGAAATGTTTGTGAGGAAACGGTACGACTAAAAGTGTTCAGTCAGCCGAAAAAAGAAAAAGAAGATTTTTGTTATGTTAGTGATCAGTGGTGGTTCCTTGTTGGCCTAGTGGAACCCGCAGGCCCTAAAAGATCGGCTCAGTGGAGCGCAAATATGCCGCGAACAAGCGACGAATTCCGCCCGGCGGTGGCGTTCACTCCTCGCGTAGCATCAGAACATTGGCTTTCGTTGACGCGGCGCGCAAAGCAAACCGTGCCGCCGGGCGAAGTTCGTCGGTTGTTGGCCCCATGTTCGCTCCATGGATTCGGACATTTAGAGCATCTGTTCGACTAATCAGCCTAGATATGACGAGATATGCAAGTGTGTACTACGCGCGCGTATATGTCACTGCGAAACGTGAACTTGTTCGTATACGCGGAATGCAAGTCGTCTGCTTGTTGCGCAGGAATTGCGTTGACGTCAGAACGACGCCGAGCTTTGATTGGCTTTGATTGAAAAGGTGATGGATAGACCACAATGCTAGATGCCTCGAGGTCTACCCACTGTATTTTTCGATCAGCCAATAAGAGCTCGGTATTCTGACATCACTGCGGCCCCTGAGGAAAAAAGCAGACGAACTTTCGCTCCGCATTGTTACTGAGGGCTTAAGAAACACGGGGCGTGGCGAGTATCGTGCGTCTCGTTATAGCTCTGCAGCCAATCAGATTGCGACATTAGCCGTTAAGCACGCCCAAGAACCAATCACGATGTAAGAAGCCCGATTATTATAGCCAATCGCGATGAAAGAAGCAGCTGTCTGTGACTATGCTCTAGAAAAAACCCGTGCGTCTGCTTTCCCGCACAACACTCGGAGAGCCAATCACCGCAACTTACGGAGGCAGCTCAACGAATGACGATTCCGAAATGTTTAGACCAAAAAACGCAGTCTGAGTTGTGACATTAAGCAATGCAATCGTGACGTTTTGTATTGCTTAATATCACAACTAAGATTGCGTTTTTTGGTCTAACATATGTTTCAGCATCGTCATTCGCTGAGCTGCCTCCGTAAGTTGAGGTAATTGGCTCTCCGAGTGTTGTGCGGGAGAGTAGACGCACATACATTCTTAGAGTGCACCCGGTCAGTCTAAGACGTCATTCTCCGTGACTACCTGGAAAAGCAAAACGAAACGTTTTCCCCAGAGAACGTAAATGTCTGCTTCGTCCTTTGCTGGCGTCTTTCCGCAATAATAGGTTAAAATAATTAAGCAGTGCCGCGTGCTTCGTGAGCAAGCAGACGTGCTATTTTCGGCCCAATAAATATTGCAGCAAATAATCGCATAATTGCGGTATTTCATAATAATGAAATTGTCCGCCCTTGTCCGCACGCTTCCGGTTTGCCGTTCCGGTTTTGCTCGCAGTTCAAGCGGGACCAACGCTTACCTTTAACGCGAGTTAGAATAAACGCTCGTACTGCTCTCCTACAAATTTCTCACAAAAAAAAAGTTTTGCACAGGGGTTTTTGAACGTTTTGGCTAAGGGGCCGGATTAGGCATATGTTGCAGTCTAAAGGGCCGGGCAGAAAAAAAGTAATGATAAACGATGAAAGACTACAATAATAAACTTATTTAATGATTTCAACACATAAATAAATGTTGGAGTAAGTATAAAAATAAAGTAGGAAATCAAAGTTGGAAGAATCTATTGATTTTAGTTTGAAATTTTATATTCAACTAATTATGACGTTACACAACAATTGTGACAAGAAATATTCACGAAGCATAAATCAAAGCTCATGAAAGCTTCGGCGCACTCGCCAGTGCAAAAGACTAATAAAAATTACCAAACTAATGCCCACAGAATGTGCATAAGAACGTGAATAATTATTAACATACACAGTTTGCACACTAACGCTTCGATCTCACTTTGGACAGTCCGCGAAAATGGGTTTCTCAACGTATCGCGCTGAGGTTTACTACAAAGGTGCGGCTAGGTGGTCCACAAACACAGTTAAAATATCGACTCTTAACATGTTAGAAAAAAAAAAAAAAAACTGTTTTGAAATATCTGCCGCAGCATTCGCAGACGACGTCATAACCGGGCTTACCTAGTTAAATCTGCCGCCGACAAAGGTTGGAGGTGTCCAACGCAGGCGATTTTTTAAATCATTTTACTCGGCGCGCGTCTCTGCTGGCGCGCTCGATGCTTCAGACAATTGTCGCTGCGAGCCCGGTCATAACGTTGTCTGCGAAGGCCGGGGCAGATAGCCCGAAACAAGTTTTTCTTTTTTGGACAAGGTAAGCTCATCCCTTGATATGTTAACTCCATGCGTGCACCACATAGCCGCACCTTTGTTGTAAATTTTAGCGCGATACGTTGATCAACCGAGTTTTGCGGACCGCCCAATGTGGGATCAAAGCTTTAGTGTACACGTACATATAGTTACACAAACATGAACCCGGGAACAAAGAATGGTGATACTGGTGACGACCATGTTCAGTCATGGTGATAGAACTGCGTTACGATGCAATTTCTCTCGTTTTTCCTGGTATCTTCTTTTGCGCACTTGGAGCGGATTGTGGCGCTGCTTTCTAAGCGCGCATCCTTTTGCGCCGGTAGCAGCGGGTCTGCTGAAAGCGGGCCGCGGGCCAGGCTCCTTTGGAAGGATCACACCTAGTCACGGGCAGGTCGAAATACTTCCGCGGTCCGGATAGAGCCCGCTGGTCGGGGTTTGTAGATCCCTGGTTTAGAACGTAAGAAAGTTTCTTATCGTAGCAGTGATTGTAATGGCAGTCACTACTCCGTTAGTGATTACAACCGCAATGGATAATCCCGTGACGTACTTTAAGATCCCAGCCGTCCACAGCAATTTAAGAGGCCATACTTCAGGGGTTACCGACTTTCCATCCATATTTTAATAAGAT